CAGGAGATCGTGGCACATATGATCGATTAGAGGTGTATGAGCGCCCCCTAAAGGGATCATGAGGCCTCGGCATCGTGATGTTGTGCCTACCTTAACAGTCATACATCAATTTATTCCCGAGTCAACCTTGTGTTATCCCGACGCACTAGTCGAGATCTAGAACGATCCCTGTAAGGGCGAACTATCTCTGCGGTTAAAACGCGGATCAACATTCCCGACCCTCCTGATCAATACCCTGGAGAGCCGCCCAAGCAATCCGTCGTCGCCCTTGATATCTGCTGCACACTCTGGGCCGTGGTCTCAGCCTTCCAAGCCAACCTATAAACAACAGGATTGATACCAATCTGTGAGGATTCACTGATAATTGCATGCTTCTTACGTGTATTCTAAGTATTGTCCTCTTTGAGAGAATTATTCAACGTGATCACGTCAAAAATACACGACTTGCGAAGAAAATAGCGGGTCAGGCCGTAACTGTGCATAACAAAACGCTCCACATTCGTCACAGTAGCTGTTGTTAGGAGATTCACATGTATGTCTAATTGCAGGTTTTGCGTCAAGTATGATAATGAACAAATTAGCCTGAGCATGATACCCCGAAATCAACGATATCACTTTATTATTGTGAGGCGTTCGTTGTATTACGATAAGCTGGATTCATTTTGAACTTATTCCAGCGTTCATGCCAAGGCAGTGCCAAATCAAATTGTACTGCCATGGCGGCAGAAAATTGAGCTTCTTCTTATCCTCCGACTGCGCCATCGTTCGAATCTAAACTAAATTTAAGCTTCAGAATAAAAATATATATTCACTTACGTACTTAGACAGAGACTAACCAGACCTCTAGGCTACGCTCTCTTGCTTAATTATAGTAGTGGTTATCGTTGTTACTGGGTAATTAAGCGACTGTCTCGAAACACGCTGCGGTCAAAACTAAGTAACACTTAATAAAGAGTGTTAAGTCTGAAATAAGTGTACTCAGTCAGAGAATGGCGCGCCTGCTATATTTATTTATCATGATCCACATGCCGAACCGAAACACTCCAAACACCTGGGGTTCCCACTCTCTCACGGAGTACCAGGAATCAACCTCGCTAGACATATGGAATCCTTGGTTGCAGCATTGTCACTGGGTATCGTCTTTTTCCGCGCTTATGGCTTCCATGGCTTCAGCTGGCGACACCCCCGCAACCGACTGGTGATGTGCAAGACATTCATCCTATCCACGGCTACGTATGGGCTGAACATTATTGCCTGGGCTCCGCCTATATGGAAGGATGCGTTGGACCCCCTATTCGAGCGCTTTAACTCAGCACTCATCCAGAAACAAACTTACTTCACTTTTGTGGCCTGCTCCCAGCGCGACCATTCGCGGACTACCTCGGAGGTTGCCTGGGAATACAACTCGACTCAATGGCAAGCACAAATTCACTTACCTCTCTGACGCAACCCGCCTGGGCCCACGATAAACCATCACTGCGCTTCCCGTACAGTGTCTATGCTCACCTGAAAACTGTACACAAAACCACGGGCGGGCGTACACCCGACCATGTAGCCCTCCGCCAACGCTGTGATGACATCAGGAAGAGCTCAACAAAACGTTGGTCCAACAAAGAGATCGCGGCAATGGCCCGGCGCCATTACTACTACCAACTGGTTATGGGTAAACCGCCAAAACCTCAAACCGAGACACAGCCAGACACGACAGCTTCAATCGCTGCTTCGAGTCTACATCAATCCGGCTCTGTGCTATGATTGTAACGAATACGTACATGTTCACATTGCTCGACTACCGCACCGACAGCTGTCTCTGCCCTGTCTGCCCCGGTAGCCACAAGTTCACTACCATCCACTTTACCTGCATCCAACAACTGATTCGACGCATCCTGGTAGGCCCGAAACTGCCGCCCATTGGCCCTGACCTCCTTTAGCAATTACAGGAGTGCCACGACTTCCACGGTATCTGGACCCTCCACGAACACCTTGGATATTTTCTCCAGCATATTGAAGAACCACCGTACCCTCACCCGTCACTGACACATCAACAGATGTTCCCCGTACCCCGGCTAATCACGCTGTTGAAGTACTACTTCCAAATATCGGTTCAAACCAAATCATCGCGCTTGTTGGTTCCGACTATGATACTTCCGATCCAGGCTAGCCAACACATACCGAATTCATCCGTGGTCTGGTGCGGCATTGGCTTACCCCCATCCTTGCTTCTCGACCGGATTATGACGGATAACCTGGTCCTTCTCTCGGTATTTCGTACTCTGCACTAACCCATTCCGCGGCACTACACGGCGCAGACCCGATCCGTACCACAGAGGTGGGTACTCTACTTAGTAGGTCAGCAAGCGAATACGTGGAACATTCGATAATAACAGTGTTTTGTCAACACCGGCCCGAATTGACTCAGCACATATCTTCCATTGTCGACTCACTTGGCCCAAGCTTCAAACGGGAATTTACTGACCACTTCATCCCATCAATCTTTCCTGAACCACTACAGCGACTATGAGAGCCATACCATATGTTCATACATTGTATCATACTTGCCATTTTTGAAAAAAAATAGTTATTATCCCTACGTGGAACGAGACTTTCTCTACCATCGGGTTATGTGAAAATACCCGTCTCTATAGTTTCGTATGAGTCATCACTTTTATCTCTTTAAATTCTCTATTCCACTAATCGGTCCGGTCCTCTGGTCCGGTTTTCCAATAGTCCGCTAGATCCGGTCCTCTGGTCCGGTCCTCCAATAGTCCCCTAGGTCCGATCCTCTGGTCCGGTCCTAAACTTCTCTCTCTGATCCGGTCCTCACGTCCGGTCCTAAATATACGCCTAGGGTACTTTGTCCACAACGTAACATAACTCTCAGAGGTCTAACTTGTAAAAGACAGTCCCCTACTAGACTATCGGCTCTTATGGTTATGGCCCCTATAGGCCTATACCAAAGTAATTAAACCCACAATCCGAACTATCCAACCATGCTGGATACATAAACTCAGGTCCGGATTCATCAGAGCCCAGTCCAACTAAATAGGTACAGGGCACCCTGTTCACTACTCCGAGTCACGACTCTCGACAGAGTCCCTATGTAGACTTGTGTATAGTCCCTCTACAACTTACAAGTGACATGAAAGACTCGAGGACCTATACAAAAACTGACAATAAGGGTTCAAAAAGTCTTGTCGAGATGTTCGGTACCACCACTGACAACGTAATCGAGGCTCGACCGTATTTATCATGTGTATGTACCACTCCGCATAGCCTCTGTCTTCAATCTCTATTTAGGAGGCTATGCCCCGCCCTCTGGTTTCGATACATAAGCCTAATATTTTGACTCGAGCGGTATGTACATACTACATAGTCGAGGACTTGTTGAGGACCGAGGCCTGAGGGACCGAGCCTCGTGAGGCTTCGAGGAGGCCCTGAGGCCTGAGGGCAAGAGGCCCGAGGCCCGAGCTCTTGCCAAATTCCGCCCGAGATTCTATATGGTGCAGAGCAGCAGTTGTCTTTCTCCAATTAATACGGTTTATAAAATGCAGAATATACTCGATCGGGGGGGGGTTTTAGGGTTTTCTCGAGCTGTACCCAGAGTAGGCAAGTATGGTAGTTGCTTTAAAAAAAAAAAAGGATGTTCCACCAAATCACCCTTTTTGACTGGGGGCAAGGGTCACGGACTCTTGGGACATCAAATACGAACCCGATTTGTCGAGAGTTTGATAGCGGAAAATGTTCACAATGACCCGAATAAGAAAATCACCCGGACACTTTTTGGATTTTACAATTTGTTCAAAATTCAATTCTGACAAAATTTGAAAGTATTGGCCGCTTTCTTGGTATGTACCCTTCCAGTGCGAAATTTGGACTTTTCAGGTCAGAAATCGACATGTTCGGTCATCTCTAAGGTCTGTCGAAGTGTCACAACTTTCAAAACATCATTCCATCGGGCCTAAAAGTCTTTTTTAGTGTGTGAGATTCATGTGACCCTCGTAACTGGCACCGATCGCTATAGTAGTGGTCATACATACGTTTGTAGTCATACATTATATTACATGATGCCACCAAAGACGGCGATTAAGAGATGAAGGTAAAGGACGTAAAGTGCCAGTTCGTGGCGACTGTAACAAGAAAACGTTAGACACATATTGTGATGATTGTTGTACATACCTTTTTGTCCAGTCCGAAGATTTTCGAAGCCAGAATCTTATTGAAGCGCTAGACGGAGTTAGATTGGATACAATCAGACTGATAATGGCTTAGCGCTACAGCTTGCGGAGTCTGCAAAGGAAAAAATACACATCACATCGTCGGGTGCCTGAAAATGTGCACGATTTTGTCACAGCCGAGATGGCGGCCAAAAATTGAAAAGATTGTTAATAAAATATCACGTGTATATCATAGTGCTTTATAACTGTTTATTTATTGACGTACACAAAATTCAAGGTTTTCAAATCGACAGCCAACTATGTAAATATGCACCATTTGTGGTTGTAGGACCTAGAATATAATGGCCGCTCCCAAGTTCAATATTGGCCGCCCATGGTCATATAATGGCCACTTCAAATAATGGAGAGCCGATTTTTTTCAAGGCAGTTTTAGCTTCCTTTCATCAAAACAATCACCACTGCGAAACCCGATTTGAAATTTCGAATTTCTTCAATGAGTAAATCGACTTTTAGTTTTTTTAGTGGAGCACTTCAGATCTCGAGAGTCGAAACTCGAATCGGAATAAAGGCTCGAATTGGCTCAAAAGCGGAAAGAGCTAAGTTCGCTCGGAGAGCTCATTTTGGTTTGCTTATATTTTATATATAAAACAAATCAACAACAAGAGGGTGATAAAATTAAAAATAGTACAGTGTACATTGTACTGTGGAGCCTCGGAAGTCGGAGGTCGTGAACAGGTGTACTGTGTACACATTGAAATATTCACAAACACCTTGTGTGTATATATTCACATTTCAGATCGGTAAAGTATCATACTATGTGAATGTGTATATTTGAAAACAAATCACATTACCTACGGTGGCTGACCACTGCAATATAAGCATTATGATAATCTATACTGCGAAATTTGAGCACGTGTCAGTACCTGCAATCAGCGCACCACTACAGAGGAATTTCCCTTCACGATTTGTACCACTAACTAAGCAAGAATCAAAAACACGTCAGCTATCAGCTGGCTATGTGACAATTAAAGCGGAAGAAAACGCATATCAAAAGCGTCCTCACGAATATCTTAGGCTTTCACATGTTAAGCATCTTGTAAGTCTTGAACACACTGGAAGGAGTTACTTAACTGGTACACCCTCTATTTCAGTTGGAAGTGGCGTATTCCCAGTGAAGGAGAACAAATTCACCAACAGCGAGCCTACAATGAATGGTTCTAGCGAGTTTATAACAGGCGATGTCGCCGAATACATGAGAAGCGATTACATACTTCTCTCCTTAGGTGTGCGAGAGCCGGTAATTTCAAAAGAGGATGAAGTACATGAGTTGGAAAGGATGAACGACACGTGGTTAACATTCGTGGCAAGATTACGATCTGAGCCGAGAAAGAAAGTGTGCCTAGCTGAGAAGTCCGGCTTTGAAGATTGCCTCTGGAACTCGTGGGACACACATCTACCCAAGAGTTGTTGTTCGGAAGCAAGTATCAAAGGCCCATCTGCTATGGATTTACCTCCATTAAAACGGAAGGGTGAGCTACAGGGATCGTGGTCGTCGCGGTCACTAAAATACAAGCTGTCTGAATTTAACCTGCCCAAATACCTCAAAAATATTCTCGGGTTGAAACCTCGAAGACGACGGTCTATCGTCAGCGCTGTGATTTGAACGACTCATGATAGTAGCGAAATACAAATCGACCATCTACAACATAAACCACCTCACGCATCTGACCTTTGAACGCTGCACACCAAAATAAGTCGATATGCAAGTCCCGTATGCCGAATACAATATTCTCCACAAGACACTGTATTGATTTGTGTCCGGTCTACTTATCTTATCCACAAGAACTCAATGGAAGTCCATATCAGTTTACAAATGTAGGCATATATATATATACATATCTATATGCACATTTATATATTATAATAGATATATATATATATATCTATGTATTCAATATATTTACAATATATATACATATACAAATATATATCCATATCCGTGAACACGCACACACACACACATATATATACATAAATATACGTACACACATGTACATACAATTTACGCACTTATATATATATATATATACATATATATATAAAAATATACACGTATATATATATTTATATATATATATATATAAAC